ATGTGTGTGTGTGTGTGTGTTGTGTGTGGTTGTGTGTGGTGTGTGTGTATGTGTATGTGTATGTGTGTGTGTTGTGTGTGTATGTGTGTGTGTGTGTGTGTGTGTATGTGTGGTGTGTGTGTGTGTTGTGTGTGTGTGTGTGTGTGTGTGGTGTGTGTGGTGTGTGTGTGTGTGTGTGTGTGTATGTGTGTATGTGTGTATGTGTGTGTATGTGTGTGTATGTGTGTGTGTGTGTGTGTGTGTGTGTGTGTGTGTTGTGTGTGTGTGTGTGTGTGTGTGTGTGTGTGTGTGTGTGTGTGTGTGTGTGTGTGTGTGTGTGTGTGTGTGTGTGTGTGCATGTGCTAGAGGAAAAGAAGTGTACATTCTATATTTTTATATCCCCTACTTCTGTCATTAGCATCTGTCATTAGATTACGGTAGTTATATATCAATTATAAAGACAAAACAAAGAAAAAGACATAAAAAAAAATAGATAAAAGTATCAAAATTAAAATTAAAAAACAAATACATCTACAAAACTAACTCGGTCTATTACATAATTCAAGCCGTATCAAGATATTTCAAGAAACATTTAATCTTTTCACAATAACAATGATGAAACTAGTTTTCAATAAACAAGAAGGAAAGTAAAAGTATATAAACAATTACTATGTAAAAACACAAAGATGAGAACCAATAAAGAAAAGGAAACATACAATGTCAATATTGCAAACAAATAAAAACATGTAAATAGCAGAGAAGCAAACATGTTTGCTATAATCAAGATAAGGTGTAATTGTGTGTTTCCCAACCCTTCCAATGGGGTTTTACTTTGCTTGTTTAAGAAATTTATTGTATTTCAAATTGCTAAATGGCAGACGCTCTTCCTCTCTAGAATGCAAGCCAGAATTTAAGTTTTTAACAAATATGACTTCATCAATATAACTAGGCTTGTAGTCTTTATTCTCTTCCTTCTCAACCCTTTTTATGACCACATTAATTAGCATATTATAGTATCAAAACTAATGGAAATATCATGTATGTCAGATATGAAAGTTACAAGAGGGAAATATAAATGCATATTAAGCCATTAATAACGAAGTCAATACACTAGATAATGCAAGATCTATAACTAATACAGACTAAAAATTCTCTACAAACTGGTTACCAGCTATTATATACAAAAAAAGATAGATAATAAGAGATAGCATAACCATAATGTGAAACAAATCAATATCTTTAAAGAAACAGGAATGGTAAAGGAGCAGCTGTAACATACTGTACAAAAACTTGACACAGTGTATAAAACAGACTCACGTCATCAGCTGGATCCATCCCCATGAGGCCCGGTAATCTCCTCTTCCGTGATTTGCGCAGTGAGGGAGGTGTTTCTGGGGGTAAGAGACCTCTGCTCACAGCTCTTACAAATTTGTGTCTTCGTCTTCGAGTGAGCAGAGTTGTTGCGATAATTTGTCCTCTTGGCGTTACAAGGTACTGACGTGCTACCATTTCTGAAAGCTTTTCAGTCACCTCTTCTAGTTCATTCTGAAAAATTATTATAGTTGCATATAAAATCATCACTAAACAAGAACAGAAAAATTATTACTTACAAACAATCAAGAAAGACTGCTTTAGTGTGAAAAAGATCATGTAGCACTCAAGTTCAGTCAAGTACTATTACTTAAGCAAGGGTACATATAAACCGAAGGACTCGATATCAAGAGACAAACAAATCTAAAATATACATACATATGTAATTCGGAAAGAATCACAATCAAAACTATAGAAATTGTCAGGAAAAAAATAGGCACATATAAACGAGAGACACTTTACCTGCATGTACTCAAAGATGGTCTTGTTATAGCCATTGTCTTCTAGGTAATATCCATACACATAGGAACCACAGAGGACTCTCCGTGCCTTTAATAATTCTTTAACACCCTCTTCCACAAACCTGGTCCCTTTCTCCACAGACGCTGTTGTGAAAAGTAAACAAATTCCTATAAAAGAAACTCGCATTCAAAATAAGTAAAATATTTAAATACTCTTAATTATCATCCACATATGCACTATTCCTCTTCTTCTGGGAGCCTTATCTATCATAGTACTAATCTGACTGAAGGGGGAGCATGGAGTACTTGTGCATTCTTCATCCTTTATTCTCTAATAAAAAACATCTAGTAATAAACAAGCTATTGTCGCAGGCACCTAGACCACCTGAAATTGGAAAATTAGCATCCTTCTCCTTTTCCCCCTGCTTCACACACCTTGTCCTTGTTGCTCCTGTGATGGTAAGGAGGTTGCTAGAACCTCCATCTTATCTCTAGCAGTTTTTAATAGTGGCTCTTCCATTTTGAGTGAATTTTGGTGATTTTTAAAGCGTGTGTAATAATGTATAAATCTATTGAGTTCCTGCATTTGATGATTCCGAACAGTTGCCTGTAGAAAATAAATGCAAGGATAAATTTTCAGTTTGATTTCTCATTCATTGATTGCTTTAATTGTAAGACAAGAAATCATATTACACAAAAATAACAAAACATATAGCATAAGATCCAAAATAATTTTGAGTTCAATTATCAAATATTGTGCTAATCTTTAATATACATGGCTGATTTTTCCACATACATACATTACTAAGAGACAAATCTATTAATCATTCACAATAAAGAAAGTGATAAGAACTCACCTCTGACATTAGAACTCCCAGCTTCTCATCAGCCTTATTTGCCGCATCAAATCTGTTGCACCGGAAGTATCCTCCTGTTGCCGATGAGTGTTTTTTCCAGCTCTCGAGACAGACCCAACAAAAATCAAACTTGCACTGAAATAAATATTATATATTGCCATCAAAATCATGATATTTTTACCCATATGATTGATTAAGAAAAAGATGGAACTCATTCACACTCAACATAAAAACCTATTTCCTCAAGGTAAAACAAATACAGTAAAACATTAACACTCACTTTAGAACACTTCATATGATTACAGCCCTCATTCTTTTGGATGGGGCTTTTGCAGTTGGGGCACGGCTTGGAATTAGTGACAAGCCAAAGGAAGTTGGCCGCATCTTCCGTCTCTCCAGAGTTGATGCGTAGTTCTTCTGGCTTCACCTCAGCAACTTTGCTTTGCCATTCAATCCACTGTTCACACCCTGATGGAGAGTGTGCTTCACCAAGACACTCC